ATATCATCTATTATCAATCAATCCATCTATTATCATCTGTCTATCAGTCTATCATTATTATCTGTCTATCAATCTACCATCTATTATCATCTCTCTATCATCTGTCTATCAATCAATCCATCCATCCATATATGTATATAAATATACATATATACGTATATATATATATACATACATACATACATACACATACACATACACACACACACACACACACACGATGGAAGGGTAGATTAATTTTAAAAAGTGTTCGTTCTGCAGCTATGCCAACTTGATGTGGAAATGTTTTTTTGTAAAGAAGTTTTTATTGTTTTTATTAAAGGAAAACACACACACACACAAAAATCATCTTTCATTACATCTTGTAGAAAGCGTATCTATTGGTTACAGGCACATTTCGTGCGTTTATTCCACAATCACATATATTCCATTCAGTTTAAATTGTACATTTTAGAATTTATATATTTTACTATCACTGTACCACCATTTTCATTTAATTGGGTTTTAAGGACACAGCCACCTACTGGCATTCCCCCCCCCCCCAGTCTCAATGAATCTGCCGTAGCTTTACATCTTTATAACTAATTCTAGAAAAAAGTCGGTTAAAGAGATATGTAACAGTCCCTCTCCCTCCCCCCCCCCAAACTCACAAATTGACACTTCTGTCCATTTTACTTTTACTAGTACATCACACCTGCTTGTAACATTAAATATTATCCATTAACATTTATTTGTTATTATTATAATTAGCTAAAGATTATTTTTCTCACCTCTCCTCTCCATAGGCCCGAAAGAGATTTACCTTTATAAACAGAAATGTATTAATAAGTGTTAACAAAATAACCATTTAAAATCTAAAACAATCTAAAAGATATTGAATTTCTAATTAATAATCACCAAAAGTATGCATTAATATTTCCTTATTATTATAGTTAAAAGAAAAAAGAAAAAAACCAATTGTTTGCTATTTATATCACATCTAATCTTTTTGTTGTCATGTGCCTGCAGCCATAATGCAATGCACATGCAACCCCCCCTTCCCCGTGCATGTGCCCTGCCCCCCTCACCCATTTTGGGCTTCCAGATTGGTGCAGGAGGTTTTCCAGGCCCAAAATGGGGCATGAGGGCAAGGCCCCAAATTGCAATGCAAGCATCCACCGCGTGAACCTCTGTGCATGTACGCATGCCCCCCGCATGAGCTCCGTCCCTTGCACATGTGTGGCAGAGACCCAAAGACCAGCTGGCCGCTGGGAGGTGTGCACGCATGCGCGGTGGAGCTGGGTTGGAGCGATGGCTGATGTGCCCGCAGAGACCATAGGTTTGTCATCCTGGGACTATTATTTTTTTTTATTTACAAACATGTAAAATACACACACACAAAACTTAGAAATACACCACATTTACACAATACAATACGAACAGGAGCTTCCTATTCTTTCTAATAGCAATTACCAATCGATACCGCTCACCTTATATGATTTCCCCTTCTATTGTATTTCATTTGGATTTCACCATTCTTAACCCTCTTATTTTACTCATAACTATTATTTTTCGAGTTTTGTTATATTACTTCATTGATTCTTGTTTCTTTCCTCCTTCCACCTATACCATTTATCCCATATCTGGTAGAATTCTGATTCTTCTTTTCCCTGGATTTCTTTAGTTTGTCCATTTCAGCACAATCCATAACCTTTCTTATTGTTTCATCTTCGCTTGGAGTTAATTTCTTTTTTCCATTTCTGGGCAAAGGCAATCCTTGCCGCTGTAATTATATGTTGTATTAAAATCTGGATTTCTTTTTTTTTGTATTTTGCAGACATTATTCCTAATTAAAAAAACTTCAGGTTTCCATTCTATTTTAACCCCTGTTATTGCCTCCAGCCATTTTTTGATCCTTTTCATGGGACTGTATTGAAGTAGGGAAAATACTTAGGGACAGAGAGTTGCATCTGACCATATACTGCATTCCGGTATGTGGTGAGTAATACGTTTTCTGACTTTTTTCTCCCACGAACTCAGTCTCTGCATATTGCTTTTATCCCACTCTTGTCTGGTTTATAAAAAGAAGAAAGCAATTAAAAATAGCACGGAAAGGAAAATGAGCTAAACAAAAGCAATTTATATTTAGGCTTGGCTGCCCCTCTGATTCTGTGCCAAACCACTTCTTTGTCACGAGTATTTAATTTTCATTCCTGACTGACAGTTCGTGCTTCCTCTTCTGTGAACGCCGGACCGGTTGCAAAGAGCAAGCTTAAACACCACCGTGGCGGGAATACAGTGCAAACAATGTCATTCTTGCTGCCAAGAATATTTAATCTTTTGTGAGCCAACGGTAGCATGTCTTTCTTGGCTTCAAGTACGACTCGGATATCTGAAATCTGATCTGCCTGGCTTTGTCCAAATTCGAGCAGCGATTTCTTTCCCGAAAGCATCCACGGGTTGATTTTAATATAATTTTTGGAGGGGCCAATACTCTCGGGGGAAACCCCAAGGTGCTTCTGAGCTTGTGTGTCTGAGTTTGTGTGTCTGAGTTTGTGTGTCTGAGTTGTTGTTCCTAAGAGCTTCTGCTCTTAGGCACAACAACTTCCTTGTTTTTGCTTTGAAGACGTTTCGCTTCTCATCCAAAGAAGCTTCTTCAGCTCGAATCTTCTTGGATGGGAAGCGAAACGTCTTCAAAGAAAAACCAGAAAGTCCCATTCCTTCTTCAAAAAAAGTGCATTTGGGACAACCATGACCTGGATGACTGAGAATCTCCACAGACTATCAGGGAAATACCTCAATTTATAGCAGGCCTAAGGAGTTGCTGATCTTAAGGCCCTGCTATTCCTTTTTGTTGGCCAGACAGATTTAGCTATTAGGAGTTATTCAGTAAAATGTCTATGGAAATTCTCAGTCATCCAGGTCATGGTTGTCCCAAAGTTGCTTTTTTTAAAGAAGCAATGGGATTTTCTGGGGTTTTTTTTTGAAGACATTTCGCTTCCCATCCAAGAAGATTCTTCAGCTCTGAAGAAGAGCTGAAGAAGAGATGGATGAGAAGTGAAACATCTTCAAAAGTCTAGTGAAGGACCAGGGGAGACAGGATAGCAGCCTTCCAATATTTGAGGGGCTGCCACAGAGAGGAGCGGGTCAAGCTATTGTCCAAAGGACCTGAAGGCCGGACAACGAATAATGGATGGAAACTGACCAAGGAGAGATTCAACCTAGAAATAAAGAGAAAATTTTCTGACAGTGAGAAACAATCAACCCATGGAACAGAAGTTGCCTTTGGAAGTTATGGGAGCTTCATCCCTGGAAGCTCTCAAGAAGAAACTGCACTGCCATCAGTCAGAAATGGTGTAGAGTCTCCTTGGTTGTGGGGGTGGGTGGGACTAGATGACCTCCCAGGTCCCTTCCAACTCTGTCTTAAAAGAAAAAACAGAAAGTCCCGTTGCCTCTTGAAAAATAAAGCAACTACTTCAGCAAGATTTGAAGGCCTCAATTTCCCTACTTTTGAGCTGTGTGGGGAGGACGAAGAGAAAATAGTGTGCTTCATTTGTAGCGCCCGCTGTTAAAACCATAATGTGAAATCATCCGTGTTATGTTGACAGCCCAACATGCTTGTGATGACATTCTGGCAGTGAACGTTTGTGTCAGCTACACACTTGTCCTGTGAATGTTATTTTGGCTGCCTGGGGATTGATCCATCCTTGGCATTACAAATTTCTTTTTATTCTGGTTTAAAGAGATCCAAGTTAGCCTGGTACATAAAAACGGCCTTTCTGCTTCTGTATTTATAGCCAACGAGTCTACTTTCAACGCTTGTCTTTGCAAGAGTGCCTGTCATATCAAGGGGCATTTTTGTTTCCTCCTTTAGCCTGTCATGCTTTTTCATCTCTCCTTGACTGACAGCTTCCTCTGGCTTTTCATCTTTTCTCCCGCAGGGCTGATGAAACCTCTCTTCCCTCTCTTCTCGGGACGAGAGCCCAGCCTCTGAATTCTTCTACTTCTTCTCGTCTGTCCAACAGAGCGAGGCCCGTTGAGTCTCAAGGCGGCTGCGACGAACTGGTGCATTTCGAGATGTCCCACCTCTGAGGTCCTGGACTACACAGGGAATTTTGGCAGAATTATTGTCATTGTGCATGCAAGCAGAATGTTAGAGCGACATACAGGAAGTTCCGCCTGGGATAGCAATAGCCCTTAGACTTATATATTACTTTACAGCCCTCTCTAAGCAGTTTACAGAGTCAGCCTTTTGCCCCCAACAATCTGGGTCCTCATTTGACATCCTTTGAAGGATGGAAGGCTGAGTCAATCTTGAGCAGGTCAGGATTGAACACCTGACAATGGGCAGAGTCAGCCAGCAATACTGCATTCTAACCACCGCCACCATAGGAAGGAAGGAAGGTAGGAGAAAAGGGAAGGAGAGAAAGAAGGAAGCAGTAGCAATAGCACTTAGACTTATATACCTCTTTGCAGTGCTTTTACAGCCCTCTCTAAGCGGTTTACAGAGTCAGCCAATGGCCCTCAACAATCTAGGTCCTCATTTGATCCACCTTGGGAGGACAGAAGGCTGAGTCAACCTTGAGCCTGGTGAGATTTGAACTGCCAAATTGCAGGCAGCCGGCAGTCAGTAGAAGTTGCCTGCAGTGCTGCACACTAGCCACTAGTTAGAAAATGCCAGTTTCTCGAGCCATAGGGAAAGTCCTTGCAGAGTCCTTGAAATGGGGGTTTGTAATGGAGAAAAGGATTATTTAGGGGTGAGGCAAAAAGCTTTCGCTTGGAAACTAATCTGCAGAGAATGAAAAATAAGAGCTGGAGAAGAATTCCCAGTTTCCCTCATGGCACCAGTCCCAAGACCATGTTTGTCCACCCAGAAGAACTAATCCCTTG